GGTGTGGGGGCGCGGGGGGGGGGGGGGAGGTGAGAGAAACGACAGGGGGTCAGACTGGGAGAATATGCCCCTCCGTGTGGCTGAGCGCCCTGGGGTGCTAGTATCTCCAGCCCCTGGGGAGACAGGATGCCCCTGCTGCTACCACAGCCCTGGACAGGGGCTCTGGTCCTCCTGACGCCTCCAGTCACTGTTCCCCCAGCTCCCTGCATAGCACAGCTGCACGCACTGCACAATCCCTCCCTCCTCTAGGCCGCGAGGGGCTGGCGCACGCTTCGCACACACTTCAGGCCACGTGCACGTGGCTAGAGGCCACGTCGCTGGCTGCCTGTTCTCAGCCCCCAAGAGAGGGTGGCGTTATTACAGCCCCTAGCTAAAGCCTGCCCACACTGAGAGCCCTGCCCCCCAGGGGTGGACACACCAGAACCCAGTAATCAAATAATTCCAGGGGACAGCACATGAAAAATCAGGGAGGTGAGTGAAGCTGGCTGGGAGCAGAGAAGGGGAAACAGAGCAGAGCACCCCAGACAGCACCCTCTGCTCCTCCAAGGCAGGCCAGGAGCCAGTGGACACATGCCTGTCAGTGTGAAAGAAACTATTGGCATATACATGCAACCACACTTAAGTGGCAGCCCTCAGCTTGTGCTTTGAGTATCCCTGTGGCCCCCGGGGCTTTCGAAGGTGAGTAGCCCTGGCCCAGGAGAACTGTGCCCAGAGTCATGACTTGAGGGAGGGCTGGAAATAGGTTCTACTGGTACAGACCCACTGCCCCATTACAGCTTCCTCCATCTGGTATGGCAGACAATAGGGCGTGTGTAAATCAGGAGGTGGTGGGAACAGGGCAGCCAGCCCAGAAGAAGGACTGCAATGTCCAGGGAACTGCCACCAGGTGGATTTGAACCTGGGACCTCCAGAACTTAGTGTAGGAGCCGCTTCAGTATTTGAACCTGGGACCTCCAGAACTTAGTGTAGGAGCCTCTTCAGTGTGAGCTATAAATCCAGCTGGCCCTCAGCTCAGGCTGTAGAGCTCCCTTGTTCTTCTCTCTCATTTTGGTGGTCTAAATGCCACTGCATGGGACAGCGAAGCACCCCTCCCCCCCCCGAGGTGTGTGGGTTACAAATTCACGCCAAGGTCTCCCTCTCGCTTTAGAAGAGGCAGGTGGGAAACCACACCTGGTACACACCCAGGCTCACGGTTCCATGAGGGAGCCTCCAACTAATACCCCTGGCAGGCCGTGGGACCGGGGTGGGTGGTAGGAGGCCCCGACGCTGGCTGGCCGGGCAGGACACACGGACAAGGAAGAGAAGGGACAAAGAACGAATCTTGGGCCCTGCAGCCACCAGTTCCCAGTGCATGGCAACCCCCCCGCTCCAGCCCTGCCTGACCCAACTGGGTGAGGAAAACAGGCCCTTCTCCCTGGCAATTTGTTTCTCGATCCGGCTTTTTATGCTGATTTATGGTGCCGGTTTCCGCCATAATCGGTGCAGTTAAGTGGCAGCCTTGGATGTTAAAAGTTCACTGCCTAAGTGCTGCTGCCGGCGGGTAAGTGCTGAGGCAAAATTATGATTCATGGAGCCGATCGGCGAGTGGGTAATTTATGTTCCGAGCGGCCAGATCGGTTTTTATTCATCTCAATTAAACAGGGCTGGCCAAACCCGATACATTTGGGCTAATGAATGACTAAGTTAAACACGCATTTATTTTCATTTGTCTTCTAATGCTCCTGGGCGGGCAGCAAAGCCGATGGAAAATAGTTCCTTCCCAGCGCCGGCCAGCAGGGAGTGCCCAAGCGTTGCCCAGCCAAGGGCTGAGCTGGGAATATGCTGGGCAGGGTCCCAGGGAGCCTACAAGAATAGAGCATGAAGTAGCCCCCCTTCCTTTTATTAATGCTGATGCAGCCTTGAGACTACAGTTCCCAGCATGCATTGCTCAAGCTGAGCAGAAAGCCGCTCAGCGCTAAACGGAGCACTGCATGCTGGGAGTTGTAGTCTCTCTACAGCCCACATGGTCTCAAACCTAAGCAGATGTTGCAGGCTGGGGTAACGTCTCCCACCTCCTACTCAGGCCTAGGGGGGAGCGCGGCATGCTGGGACCGCGGGCTGCATCTCGATCGCCGCGTGCTGGGGTTGCTGCAGTGGCTGGGTGCCCTGGAGATTAGCTCTGGGGAGCAACTGAGCAAGAACTGTCTGGCCAATGTGCCAAACCCTGCCCTGGAGACAGCAGACCCCACTGGCAGCTGCAGCAGCAGGGATAGGAGGCAGCTTTGTGACCAGAGCTCAGACTGGCCTGGCCGCTGCGGCTCTGCAGGGCTGGAGGGTGAACGTGGCAAGCAAACGCCAGCCCTGAAATCAAGGCTGAGAGTCCACGTAGGCGCAGTCACCCCAGACCTGCGGCCACCATCTGGGTGACACCATCACTAACCCAGTCACCTGCTCGCTCCCACCTGCATGGCTCAAGTGAAGCAGGGATGCTGTGTTTCTACCACAAGAACGGTCGTACTGGGTCAGATCAAAGGTCCCTCTCACCCAGTGTCCTGTCTGCTGACAGTGGCCAATCCAGGTGAAAGAACAGAACAGGGAACCATCGAGCGAGCCATCCTCTGTCACCCATTCCCCATTTCTGGCAAACAGAGGCCAGGGACACCTCCCAGACCCTGCCCATCCTGGCTCATAGCCATTGACGGACTTATCCTCCATGAATCTCTATAGCTCTGTTGGAACTCTGTGACAGTCTTGGCCTTCACAACCTCCTCTGGCAAGGAGTTCCACAGGTTGACAGTGTGTTGTGTGAAGAAACACTTCCTATGGCGTGTTGTAAATCTGCTGTCTATTCATTTCATTGAAGGACCCTTTGTTCTTGATTTCATTCAGCTCTGTCATATCCCCCCTTAGTTATCCATTTTCCAAGATGAAAAATCCCAGTCGTTTTAATCCCTCCTCCTACGGAAGCTGTTTCATCCTCCGAACTAGTTTGATTGCTTTTTTTCCTCTACCTTCCCCAGCGCCAAGAGATCTGTTTTGAGAGGGGATGGCCACATCTGCCTGCTGTATTCAAGCTGCAGGTGCACCCTGGTTGTATTGAGAGGCAACCTGATACGTCCTGTCTGATGACCCATCCCTTTCCTAGTGAGTTACAACTTTCTCTTTGCTTTTTTGGCTGCCACTGCACATGAAGCAGATGTTTTCAGAGACCTGTCCACAGTGACTCTCTCTCTGGTGGCAACAGCTACTTTAGATCCTGTCGTTGTATACGCACAATGGGGATTCGGTTTTCCAGTGTGCGTTACTTTGCATATATCGATACTGACATTCGTCTGCCCAGCCGTCCCCCCATCCTTTCTCCCCCAGATTCCTCTCCTTCCTCTCCTTCTCCCCTTCCCCTTCCTCTTGGGCACTCTGCTCTTTGCTGCACCCAGCGTCTTGGGCTGGGCGTGCCCACGTCTGGGGCCTGCTAGAGGAGCCACCCAGCCTGGAGCATTACCTGTCGCCGATGTACAGAGTCCTGTTGACTTTCAGCATGCGCTGGATGTTGAGCCGTTCTGCTCCGCTGCCGTCCAGGCTGGAGAAACGTCTCTGCCCGCTGCCCACGAACACGGCATAGTGCTTCACGTCTGCCAGGGGACACAGCAAAGCAGCACCCGCTAGCGCCTGCTAGAGGAGCCACCCAGCCTGGAGCATTACCTGTCGCCGATGTACAGAGTCCTGTTGACTTTCAGCATGCGCTGGATGTTGAGCCGTTCTGCTCCGCTGCCGTCCAGGCTGGAGAAACGTCTCTGCCCGCTGCCCACGAACACGGCATAGTGCTTCACGTCTGCCAGGGGACACAGCAAAGCAGCACCCGCTAGCTCCCGACTGCTCCAGTGCTGCCCAGCGGGTCTCCCCCATCAGCTCGGCTTGACTGGTCAGGAGCAAGGTTCCCCCCCTCCCCTCCCCTCCCTCCCTCCCCGAACTCTGATGCTCCTCGATCCTGACCCGGAGACTCTCCATCGTTGGCTTGGAAGAGCCGCCCAGCTCCCACGCCGGGCTCCCTGCCATGCCACGTGCCACATTAGATGCTCGGCCCAATGCGCCCCTCTCCTGCTCAGCTGACACAGCCCCTCCCTGCTGTAGACTTCTCCCTGGCACGCCAGGATAGGAGGAGGCTGTATGGGGCTGGGGACTCTGGGGTTCTTGCCCCAACTCTGGCAGGGGAGGGATCTAGTGGTTAGAAGAAGGGGGCTTGGGAGCCAGGGTTCTATTCCTGGCTCTGCGAGGGGAGTGGGGTGTAGTGGTGAGAGCAGAGGACTGGGAGTCAGGGTTCTTGGGTTTGATTCCTGCCTTGGCCCTCGTCACTTAGCCAAACCCAGGCACAAGGACAGCAACGCTCAGCTGTGGGCTGGGGAATTGCTGCTCCTGTCCCGCGGGGGAGGGGGATCCCCCACGTAATTTCGTAGCCAGAGAGGTGCTGAAGTGCAGATCTGAATGCCTTGGCTCCATCCTTTGCCTGGATGCGCTGTGTGGCCGGAGGCCGGTTCGGTCCCTCGGA